GAGGGAGAGAGAGGAAAAAACAGAAATAAAAAAGGAACAGAAAAGTGAAAAAAAAAAAAACAAAATTCTTTATTTGTGTTTTCGGGATTAGTGAACCTTTTTGCTCCGATTGATTGAATCAGCTGTTCAGACGAAGTTAATTGTGGCATTCCACCGAAGATTTGCCAACTTGAAAATAATGATTGAGACACCGTTTGACTTTTTCGAGTCTCATAAGGTAACAATCCTTTTTTTTTTATGTTGATAATATACTTTTATTTCGGTGTTTTGGCTTGTCAGTTTTAAATCTAATAGATTAGTGTAAAAAAAAAAAAAAAAAAACATTTCAATTTTTAGTTGCAATTTTCTATTAATTTAAAAAAAATGTTCCAACTCTGATACATACACCGAATCCTTAGGTCATTATCATGATAGTGTGTCTTCCACTTCCCAGTATCAGTACAATTTCCTCCCGTCTAGGAACTATATTAACCTCGTTCATTATTTTAGGCAAGTTCCATTACAACCATGGGATTTTGATGGTTAGACTGGTACGGAAGCCTCACTGGATGGGCTCTATAATCTTGAAAAATTCTTCCACTATCTCAATTTGAGTGACTCACGTCGAATTGTCTATGCTAATAGTTACTTGTTGGTTCCACTAGGAGTCATTGAAAGTCCTTTTTTACATAATCGTCTAGGTCAACCATCAATCACTTCATGGGATGAGATGAAACGAATTATAAGCAATAAATATGCACCCTGTATATTATCGAACTCAATTGTTAGATCAATTCTTTTTTCATTGTAGGCAAGGTACGTCCACTGTTAGTGAGTATCTAGCCCACTTTGAAGAGTTATTAAACAATTGTTATATTTATGAGGCCCCCGATATCACAGCGCCTAGGTTTATCGATGATTTAAATCCTGAAATTTTGCTTAATGACATTTCTGGACCTCAATCCTAGGATCAGGCTTACCGTCTAGCTAATCATTGGTACATATCTTTTTAGCTTAATCAATTATGTACAAAACTAGAAACATCACTCCATTCACTTACTAAATCTAGTTGTGGTAGTCCTCCCCCTGCACAAGAAAATGATGTTTTTATTGCTGAACCAATTGACTCATTTGATAGTAAGGATGAGAGTTTTGAGACTGGTCTCACATATCCTCTCACACCGACTGTGGACATAATTGACCATGATACAGTTGATGAGTTATCGTTAGTATTGCCAACTCAGCCAAGCTGTTTACTTACTCCTAAGCAAACATTTAAAGTTGAGTTTATTGTGATATTACCTTAAATGAATGATTCTTCATGAGCCGCAACAATTTTTTGTAAGGCAATTATCAACTTGCACACGTTTTCAATTGATATTCGATTATTGCCTACTAATTATCGACATGTTGGGCTAGCTCATCATTCTATTGACAATGTTCCTAAATTTCATGTCAAGATAAAAATGCAAATAATTTTCAATTATGAAATTTGTGAACTTACTTTCGATGTCCAACATAGGTTAGGAGACCATAATGATTCTTATTCTTTGTTACTTGTCTCATTTACTCGGCTTCCTCAATATGTTAAGAAAAGAAATTTTGATCACTCACATAAAGATTTCCTCTTTGACTGGCCATTACACCTGAATGAAAGTTATATTTTCAATATGAAAGAATTGTTTCCTAATTATATGAATAAAGATTGATTTTCCTCTTGCTCTCAATTTAAAATCATTATTTTCATTTCCCTTTCATTTAACTAATTGATCATTTTCAAAGTACAATAAGTTGATAATATTTTTTATCTTCCATGATATATTCAAATATCCAGAAGATCGAATAAAAGTACGAGATTTATTTATTTTTCTACCTCCATTTCTACATAATTTCTACAAACTACAAACCAACCCTTACATTTTTTTTACAATCATTACTTTGATTTCCCTTTCATTTAGAAATTGATCATTAGCTCTATTTTTGCATAATTTCTACAAACTATAAACCCATTATTTTTTTTTCTTCAGCAAATAGACTATAATGGGGCCTAACATTGCTCGACTGCCAATATTTTATGTTTGTAGAGTTTTGGTGGTGGATAATTCTCTCGGTGCAGATGTCATTTTGTTCACGTTATTCCAAATTTAGATTTTCAAATTTTTCATATATGTTTAAACAATTATCTTTGCCCCAATAAAAGAGAGTGGAGGTTAAAAAAAAAATATTTAGAGACATTTGATATAGTCAATATTTGCACTTAATAAAGTCAATATACCCTCACTCGATTCCACTTAATGAAACATTTAGTTTCCACTTGCCCATACTTTTCTTGTTCATTTGTCAAAAATGCCCTTAGTTAATCTTCTTAATCAAACTTTATTTTGTACTAATAGCTTTACAATACATAAAATTAATCTTTATAATTACATTCCTTTAATTAATTAATTAATTATATATGTATAACGTCAACATATAGTTAATTGAATTCATTAACATAAAAAGGTCAGATGAAGCGACACACTTCAATGCAATGAATTCCACCAAAAGTTTTATTACATATTACCTCTCCATTTTTCATTTCCCATACTTACTTTCCCTCCCCACCGTCTTCTCTCTCACTCTTTCTTCTCTCCAAAAAATTATTTCCATAAAATAAATCAAGGTAACTGTCAAGAGAATTGTGTGTTTTCGTTTCTTAAATTTTCAAGGGAATAGAATTTAAAAGTAGCTTTTGGTTTTAAGTTCTCATCAATTATTTTCATGATTTTTATTATCATCTTCTTTTGGCTTTAACTTATTAGAATCTAGAAGACAGGTGGATGTCTTCAATGATACAGAATCTAATGAGATCGAATTGAACGAAATGAATCAAACATGTTTACTCAGATTTAGGCAAATCAAAGCAAGAGACTAGAAGTGTCTTTACTTTCAACAAATTAAATGAAGTATAATTTTTTATGTTTTGTGATTTTGGATATATTCAACGAATATAAATCTTTCATTGATTTTTGCATTCTAATATTCACATGCGTATGTACTTTATTTTTTAGATTTGAATTGGCATATTTATATTCAAACATATCATTTAAGAATTTTGTTACGTTAAAGTAAGAATTTTATAATGTATTTTGAAGTTTTCATTCACAATAATGTATAAAGGGTCAAAATTCAATTTTATGGATTTAAGTATGCAAGTTGTTTATTCTTATATATTCTTTTTAACAACTTTAATTTTTCCTTTAACAATATCAGTTACCTCAACTACTTTGAAAAAACAGTATTAGTACTTCAAAATCATCACACGTATCATTCGTCCGATATATAAAACGTGCAACGAACGTGTTTACTACTAGTATTTCATATATAGACAGATATTGCATACCTCTGACGCTGCGAATTTTCTCAATGAATTTCTCAGCAATGATCCCTGAGCTGGACACACTCAGTGGACCTCGTGTCCTGCTAATAGCTCCAGAGGCTCTAATTATGGCTATCTTGTCTTTATAACCTGTCAAGCCTAGAGTCCATTTCCTAACTCTACTGTACTTCCTGTAAGCATCAGAAGGATAGATCATAAGCATAGAAGGATCGCTTTAGACAAAAGACAGGTTTAATTACAGATAAGCAATAGTAATTAGATTTATATACAATTAAATTTTTTAAGATAAAACACAAATGATTAGCTTTTTGCTTTAAACACAAGCTATAGCAGAACCCTGCTAATATTTTCCACCATAAACTTAATAGATTCAACAATGTCACTCCACCAATGACCTCTATATACATCCATGCCATACGGCAGTTCGTACAATTTGATTCTACAAACACCCACCACTCCACCCCTGATCACAGCCTTAGACAACTTTATGAAAAAATTAAATCCCTAATCACCAGGTTAAATTCACCAGACGGTGTCTCTTCCTAAGTATCCTTTCCTTCACATGTATAAATCCTTTGCAGCATCTTTCAACATATAGGCCACCAAGACCATAACAATCAGCAGACTTGAACCGATAAGTTGGCAATGACCCTTGGTGCTGCCAAAGGAACTAGAAAGCAACACAATCAACAAACACAAAGTATCGAACTTTGTTCACTTACTCTATGTAACACCAAATCCATACCTTCCCATGCTCTACAGACAAAGTCCTGATTCAAATGGTCCTAGATTTCTAAAAATCCAGTTTGCATAAACTAAAAATTACTTGAAATTTTCAGGTGAGGTGGGTGACAGTTTTAGAAACTTGTAGTGCTTAGTCACCTAAAAATAGATGAGCTACAACAAAATTATCATGTAAACATGAAGAAAGATGAAGAGGTTTTAGCACAGGATGCTTGTCATCAACAAAAAAGTCTAGATATATCATCTACAACCTCAATAAAAAACATCAAACCATATGTTATCCAAGCACCAGAATACTGCAGATAATGAATGAGCAAGTCAACTTAAATGTTAGGATCATTTAATTGACTCAAGATTAACAAAAGTATCTGATATTGAAATCCTGAAACGGAGAGGGATAAACTTGAGAAAGAACATCGGTGTCATCTAATAATCGGATCTAATAATAACGAAAAAAATTTAACAGAAGAAATACCTGTAGTCAACTGTAGGCAGAGTTTTGATACTTGGAAATCCCAAGCGCTCTTTCAACAGTGAAATAACCTGAAATACAAAAGTTATATAAAAAGTATCGGGATGATCAGTCAAATGAAGAGAAGCTGGCATTTTAACTGAAAAAGTTCAGCTTCCCACCTCACCCCGAAGAGAGAGGAAAAAAGGGGTTCTAGTTGTCAGTGTGTTAATACCAATATGGCAAACATAAGAGAAGTTATTGTTAAAGTAAAAGAATTAGAAGGCTTCACAATTGTGTTAGCCTGTCCTACTATTTATAATAAGAGTTAGGAAAACCTTAGGAAACCCTAGGTATTACATAAAAGACCTAAATA